TTTTTTTTTTTCCTTTTTTTATTTTGTGTGCATGCACCGTCAAATCAAATCTGACTGGTACAGGAGGATATTGCGCCCCCTTCTCCGGCAGAGCATCTGGTGGATTCGAACCGTGTTCCTCTGGGATTGCAGTGCAGCTTCTTGCCACTAGGCCACCAGAGCTCCCCTATCACCTTAGACTTCAAATTGTCATCATTGCTCCTCAGTAAGTTGGAAAGGTCCATGACAATGAACTTGCTCTATGCAATATGTCTCCTTATTCCTTGACTTCTGGTTCCCACAGTGTTGATTGTTGATCATTGACAGTAAGTATAAACTAACGAGAGAGCAAGGGGAGGAAAAGTGGTAGAAGTACCTAATGTGAATTGAGTGCTTCCAGCAAGGCATTTGCAAAAATCAATGAGATTTCTCCTAAAATCTAAATCAGAAGCTCTGGTGGTACTGTTGTTAAAGCATTCAACTGCTAACTATAAACAATTTTTGTTTAATGCACTGTTTATTGTAGTTAACTAAAAAGTGGGTGTTTCAAGCACACCAACCATTCCACAGAAGAAAGATGAGACAATTTGCTTTCATAAAGATTCCCAATCCTGGAAACCTTACCTGACAGTTCTACTCTGTCCTACAGGGTTGCTATGAATTGGAGGGTTGCTATGAATTGGAATCTATTCGGTGACAGTGGGTTTTGTTCGTTTTGCTTAAATCTAAATAAATGTTCAAGAAAATATAAAAAATAAACTTACCTCTGCTGCACCTTTGCTTGAAAGCAGACTGTTCTAATAGAGGTGAAAGTGGAAGTTGTCACATCTTGCAAATGTTTAAAAGATGCATCTCCAACCCAGACCAGGAAGCACTTAGCAAGGTCTTTTTTGTAATACAGGATGACGCAAATTCAAAGGACGCCTAACATAACAGGAGCTCCCTAGTATGCTTGCCAAAGTGTGACCATCTCAAAGGGACAGAGAAGTCATCCACTGAGCATGTCAATCAGCCAAGCCGTAAACTTGTTTATGGAATAATGTTAAGGGGCTACTGCCTTCCATATTTCTCTACTCTGCACCCTTTACCCTGTTTCTGGGACTTTGTTCTAAGAAAGATAGTGGCTTTGACCATAGATAGCAGATGGGGGTGGTTGTTTTTGTTGTATACTGTGGAGTTGGTACCAACTCACAGATGACCAACCAGAGGGTTTTCGCCCATCTTTCTCTCACAGAACAGCTAGTGGATTTGAACCACTTGAGATACAGAAGAGGTAAAATTCAGGACTAAGATCATTCCTATCATTCTACATCTGCACCTAATGCCATATTTATGTCATCATAGAAATATACAGAGAACAAAAGGACAAAAAGCACCTTTATTTAAATTTCTTTATTTGGAACCCTGAAGCCACTGCACTTTCCACAGCCTTGCTGGTCAGTAAGATTGAGATTAGAAGAGAGGTAAGCCTGTCTTTCTTTCTTCTTTCTTTCTTTCTTTCTTTCTTTCTTTCTTTCTTTCTTTCTTTCTTTCTTTCTTTCTTTCTTTCTTTCTTTTCTTTTTCTTTTTTTTTTCAGCAAGGAGGAAAGCAAGGTCTTTTCACTGCAGGAAATAAAGACACAAAGAAACAGAAGGCCTGGAAGTTGGTTCTTCGGAACCTATAGGTGCCTACGTGCCTTTGAGGACCCACATTTGAAGACTCCACCTTAGTTTGACTAAATACATCTTGTGGTGAGGGAGTGCAAGCACTGGGAGATGCTGGTGGGAGTGGACCCATCAGATCACATCAAAAGAAGCCACCACTCACTCAGTCTGAACACAAGATGTGTCTCAAAGCTGGTCAAGGATTTTCTGAGTCAGCATTAGCGTCCTGGGGACACACTCCCTCTAGTGAGCAACCCTGGGCTGTGTCTGATACTCCACAGACCTGCTCATAGACTCAATATCATCATGTAGTGGGGGTGCAGAGACCCTCATTCTTTCATCTCTTTCAGTCTTCTCCACACTATGAGACTTGAAGTCTTCACCCTGTTATCCTTCCCAACCAACTTCTTATTTTTTTTACACATTGTACAATTTCTTTGTGGGTTTTTTTT